TGCAAACCATGATGAAACTGTCGGTCGTGAAGTGTGGGGATGGGAGAGAGCAACACCAAAACCCTCTATTTCGGTCGGATTCAGTCCCAGTGATCGGAATGGCACAGGGTGACTTCAAAATCAACCGAAGGCACAATGGAGATTGCGTGTCGCAATCCAATAAACACGGCGGGCACTGCAAAAGTTGACTACCAGTCCCGTGAGGGATATTGATTTTGGTTTCCGATTGTCACAAGGATTGCATGCCCGGCTTACAATCCATAGATCACCGGTTCGAATCAGCGTAGGGGTAGGGGTATACTCCGCCCATGCACTACCGGTAGTGGTCGCGTGGCAGTGAAGCGTCGGTACAGTGTGCCGGCGTACTGTGGATGACGTTTGACTTCGACTACGCAACACACGTAAAGATCCAGTGCGTCCAACGTGTGTGTGTGCGGCCTGTCGAACTATTGAAATTAGAGTGGGAACGTTGAGTGCCGCCGGGGAAACGGAACACTGTGGCAGTATAAGGGACTGTTGTCGATAGGCGTTCAGTGATTTGTGTGGGAAGGTAGCTGCAGATGGTTCTACTCCGGTGGCATTACGGCTGCTGTCAATTAATCTGTGAATTATCGAAGAAATGTTAGTAATAGGGGAAGGGGGAGAAAGAGAAACGGGTGGAAAAGAAATAAGGGTTTTCATCAGTAGTAACTCGTTTCCGCTTATCCGCCACGATGTAGGCAGCAGATAAGCCGACCCTAGATAATCTGCGCAACGGCCGATGCAAGATGTGGTCAAAGTTGGAAGAAATACTCATGGTTTTAAGTGGGCTGTGGCACTGTTGGGGCACCCATACCAAGATAGGAGGACTGCTAAGAGGGTACGTTTTCTCGAGCGCAAACCAACGGAGCACTTGAGTTGCGTTCACTCAACCAGCTGCTCCGAAAACCCGAACGAGCTGAGCCCAAGGTCAACCCGGCTTACGCCTAATGCACCGGAAGGATATCGATCAACAGACCAGTGTTGATTTGAAATCAGCACCCATGATCGAACGCGCATTCGGCTAGTGCAGGTTGTACAGTGGGAATACTTCAACCGCGTTGGTTCACGTTCTGTTATCAAAATAAACTCCGGTTTCCTGAGTACTCGCTATGCTCGTTTTTCATTGCTGAGGATTGGCCTACTTTCTACTCTAGCAGTCGGACATAGCAAGGACGATTAGAGACCTCAAAGTACGCCGTTGGCTGAAAAGCCTGTCTGCATGGCCACGTGGAGATGGCAATGAATTGGTTTTATAGAAATAGATGCCATCCGATTTCAAATCTCTAACATGGATGACCACGAGTCTGAACTTGTTTGACCCCTAAACATTGACCAACCTGGTAGGAGTAGTTCTCAAAGTGCCCGGAGGGATCACCCAGTATAGCTCAATGGGTCGAAGAAGTACACAAACCGTCGCATCATGTTAAGATCCAGTCACAATATTTTCTGCAAACATAGCCAAAATAAGTGTCAAACAATTTGCACCATTTGTTTAATTTGCTGGGGTCACCGTGTTTCGGAGGCGGCAATGAAACTACGTACAGCAATCTGTTGATCAAGTCAGCTACGACAGGTGAGTTGATAGCCGATAAGAACATGAGAATCACAGCTAGCAGATTTGGTGCTTTCAAGGTTGGCGAGTAGTTGACGATTTCTTCCACACCACAATCCAGAAAGTCCAGTTCGGAAAGTGTGATGCACATCGAACTCAGTACAGACACCGGATCATTTGCAAACACGGAAGCAAACCATCGCGCCAATGCGTACTAGGCTCAGAGTTCTGAAGGTTAGGGAATGTGTACGCACACTGGCAGGCCACCTGTCGGCTTCAGGCGCCGCTTCATGTGTGCAAAGGTTTTCCTCTTGAAGGCGATTTTTGCTGACTTTACAAGGTTATCCTTAAAATGTTTGCACTTGCTGGTTTTCACACTGTTCGGAATGTTTCGCTGCTTTTTATACACCTCGTAGTTGTTAACCGAGCCAGAATGAAGGAATTTGTCCCATAGTCTGCGCTGCCGCCGAGCCAGCCTACCATATTCCTTGTCGAATCAATGTGGTTTGATCGGTGCGACTTTCCGACAGTAAAGAGGAATAAACCAATACGCAATGAGTGAACGCTGTCCTTTATAACTGACCAGCAAACTCCAGCAGTTGCAGATTGTGGCAGAGGCTAATCCACTTGGCTCATAACTCGAGCCAATCCTTTGAAAGCCGTCTTCCAGTAGCTGTAATCTGGTTGCAGTGCACGAGATTACTGTGACAGCAGCTTCATGTTGGCAATGAGAACTGAGTGGTCGTTTGCTGCTAAAAGGTCCAGGATACGAATGTCATACATACGTTGTTCGCAGTTTGTTAACATCAAGTCTAAGCACGATGGAGTTGAGCGCGATGTTATGCGCGTCCGTTGGCAAATGTGTTGTGCTGTCCCAGTTTTGAATACCGTATCAGTGAACTTTGCTTCGGCCGCACAACATCCGGTGATAATTTGAACACCAGGTCATCGTATTCGAGGACAACTGGAATCGCTCATGAGTAGAAAATGACGGCGACTCATGAGGTCCCGGCGATATGGCAGCCAATCCAAACAACTACACAGGGGATTGCGATAAAATGCACCTATGAACAGCTCGCCGCGCTTGATGGGACACCACAACTGATGACATAGGCCATCTCCGCTTCGGTGGGCAATCGTAATTCCCCGAAAAAGAGACCGGATGTAGAGCAACATGTATTTGATAGCCTATCACAGCGGAAGCACGAGTAGCCACTAAGCTCAACTTGCTGGGTGAGTACCACATCATTCAATCACGTCTCTGCGAGCACAATTACATGTAGTCGCTCGAAAGCAAAGAAACGGCACAGCTCATCGCGGTTGTTCATAAGACTGGAAATGTTGGTATAGGTTACATGCAGTCTGCGGTAGGAACTACTGAATGTGCCTGAAGAGCGAGCGACCGATTTATCCACATTCGCGCTCGTGTTGTAACCGCCCGGAAAACTTGCAGTACGTAGGGTTGTTTTTCCCCCACCGGTTCGCCGATTTAGCGCAGTGATAGCACCCTCGGTCAGCTGGATCCATATCCGGACGAGTTTGAACCCTGTCGCCTCTCAATCGAGAGAGTATTGTCCTCGGGCTGGCATCGCTTCAAAACTTACCCGTATAGGTCAGTCCTTCTCAGCAGTGATTTTACCGATGCGGACGACTTGATTCACTTTCACTCAGTCCTCACCCACATCGAGGAGCCTGTCGACCAGACTCTATGAAAACGCTACGTCATGACGATAGAATGCCTGAAGGGATTAGATTGGTGGTCTCATGAAAAAGCATCAGATTTGATCACCTCTTATCATTTGAAGCGGTTTTCTGCGGAAGAGTGGTATCGAGATTTTATTGATCTGACATGTTGAACAGCAGGGGAACATTCTTTTCGTTTTGCAGCTTTTTCCGTCGATATTGCATTCTTGCGCGCTGTTTGTAGTCATGACAGAGCTAAGAGATGCCGACTGGAAGTTGGTGCTCTGTCGACTGGCTTGGAACAGAATGTGAACACTGAGAGCCAAATGTGAAATGGAACGTCAGACGAGATGGATAATCCAGTTCGACTGAAATGGGTGACAAAGTTACATGCGATCTCTCGACGGCGCGGAAAGAGAAGCTAAGAACTGTTCGCTAATCTTAAATTATTAGCATTATTTTCGTGATTATTTTGGTGAAGTGTGTCAAGACAACCGGATGCATTGCGCCTTTGAGCAAGGAGCACAGTTGTCAAACTGAGCCGATCCGAACCAGAATATGCGAAAGCATAGATGATGAAAACTTGTGTACAGATGACGCCTTCCAGATAAGCATATTGAAACAGAGGCATAATCGCAGCGCCCAACCAAATTAAAAGACAATGCGAAGGTGGTATAGTGTGGGAATGTAGTAAAGAAGTTACATGGAAATATGATTCGGATTGGTAAGCAGTCTTGATGCGTTTGACGCATATAGGGTGAATTTTTAGACACTGTAGAGAAACGTTTTCAAGTTTTATATCGATCCCGAGCTAATTGATGTAGGGGAAGCGGTAGCAGATCAGTGAGAGACAAGTATGATCTTCCAATGCTAGAACAAGTTCACAGAGTTTATGTATCGCGCAGGAAGGACCAGATTTATGGTCAGACATCAGCAAGGGGTCGGTAGCACATGCAGACGCGCAGCTGTCACGTGCCCACAAATAATTGCGTATGAGTTAGGTATATTGCGAGGGCGACCGCATATTCACAGGATCCGGCCAGCGACTCGTGGATTACAAGCTAAACACCTGAATTCTGCTGTCGCTAGTTAATGACTGTGGCCAGAATAAGCCGCTGCACCACGTGAGTGAACCCCGAAAGGCAGGAAAATGGCTACTTGCAACTCAAAATGTAATCGGGAAGGGATGCCTCTTGACAAACTGACCAGTCTGATATGACTGGCCTCAAGGAGGTGTAAAATCACTGCAACAAGATAAAGCTAATAGTGACACTCTAGTTTCGTTGTCCTGCTAAGCTACCTCCCCGCAGACAACCTTAAACCGGTAGTAGACAAGTAGTGCGAAATGAGTGCGCGCCGAATTTGGAGCATGTCCATGTCCAATAAGCGTGTGTCCGCTCAATCAACTAAGCCGGAATATTTTACTGACTCGTCCCAGCTGCTCACAAGCCAGAGAGTTTAACCGCCAATGCAGAAAGGCACCATACGACCGTTTCACTCTAATTGGGCTCGCCAGTGGTGGGTATTCTTCGGGTCCCATTCAGGGAAATTAACCCGTGACCGCAAGCAGCCGGAACGGTAGTGCACGTGAAGACCTATCGCAAAGAGGCTATCAAATTGAGCAAGAGAAGGGAAGAACAGTTCCACTGGCCAGCACAATTATCGTATCAGAGGCGTTGAGTGAAAAGTGCGTGAGGATCCTATTAAAGCCAGTAGAAATAGTATGTTCTGCGGGCACACTCACCTCAAAAATAAACTTCTGGAATCCTCGTTCTTGTTGCGCCAGCTGAATTAGCACATCGGGCAGGACGCTGAGGTCAAAGTGGGATAACATGAATCCCAAGAGGTTGGGAAAAGCCCTCATGTAGGGAATGACCTGTGTGCGTGAAAAAGAAAATTCAGCGAGTGAGAACGAGGTTTTAGTGACTAGTAATAAGACCTCACATAAAAAGAAAGTGAAAAACAGAGAAGCGAGATGATATCTATAAACATGAAATGTAGCATATTGCGATCATCTGGTTTCGGGTGATTTGTCGACTTAATCTTCCAGAAGAGAACGCGTACTACTATTCTGTAAAGTGGAAAACCAAATAAGAGTAGAATTCCAAGCAAGATACAACCGTAAGCGGAAATGCTGTCTGTGGGACCGATATGGTAAACATGGCCAGTGTATGCGGCTGTGGGAAAGGACTGAAAGGCGAGAAACCAATAACGGAACAGCGTGTAAAAATGTTAGCATCGAAGTACATAAGCCAGGGTCGCTGACCTATTCAACTTGCCTCAAGGTCAATTACCATGATTAATCCGAAAATTTGGGTTCGTTACGTCGATGATACGTTTGTGATACTCAAACGTAGTCAAGTATCGGTTATACAACAACTGATCAACGACGCTATGGACGGCATCCAGTTTACCATGGAATCAGAGAAAGACAAAAAAACTTCCTTTCTTGGATGTCAGTAAACCCCGGAATCTGCTCATCGTACAGTATGAAAGCAGTTTGTCATGTTCCATTCAGAACAGTGGTGTCCGCATCACGTCAAACAAAGTAGGACAAAAGCTGAATATAGATAATTGAGGTTGCTCACAGCCAGATTCCAAATCAGATAGTCGTCCACATGCCCGGAAAAGCACTAAACTGCAGTTTCAGCCTATTGGGCATCATCAGTAGTGCGAATACATCGGATCCAACAGGATTCGAAAGCTGAATATGTCTAAATTGCAGCGGTTATGCAGTGCCGTTTTAGGAATAGGACGGCGTCCTGAAGGATTTCAAGTGGGTGGAAAATGAGAAGTACCAGTTGAAGCTAGTCAGTTGCCGAATATAGCCGGCGCATAGTCTTAAGGATCACAAGTTTGCCTTATAATCCGAGGGCGCGGGTTCAAACCTCCGTAAGAGCAGGGCGATCCTCGCAGTATCCTTAGCAGACGTACGACTGGTGGTGATTGCGCTGCAGCGAAATGTCGGTACTGCGTACCGGCGTACTGCTGATGACTCTTACTTTCTTTGTAGCTCTCGCTCCCCTATCCAGAAAGAAGTACAACATATCTATCAAAGACGAGACACAGGTCCAGAAAAGTTGTAGATAAACATAAGCTATGGGTATGCGGAAGAGATCCTCCGTTGCAGTTGTAACAGCAATAGCATCAACGGTAAGCAGCATGTGCTGGCGCAAAATACTGCGAATAGTGTCGTTGGGGTATCAATTTGGTGGCTGAGAAGTAGACATTGAACATGGGTACTGACACGTTGGAGAATGTTTGTAACGCTCGAGAGCTAGTGGTGGAAGTTGATCGAATACGAGGTGGATCAAATGGAGGGTTGGCTTCCTCATCCGTTTGAGTAAGGCTGAGGAGCGTGGAGAGTAACAAAGTAGGTGAAGGACTTGACAGCGGACTCCACACGCGGTCGATAGAAGCAAAACGAAGCAGTTTCAGGGATACTGTCTATCGGCCGTCCCGAATTAAGTTGCAGAGTAATAACAGCCCAAACGGTTTATGTGTTTCTCAGACTGTCAATCGATCGACACTGATGAGGCTCACATCAATCCTTAGAAGAAATAACAGAGTGATAGAGCGTTATCGCACTAACCAATAATACGGCGTTTCATAGCGTAAACCGAAAGGGTGAAGAAAGGGTAAGTCGTGTTAAACAACCAGCCTTGTCCTAGACAGAATGAGCAAAGTGACAATGCTGAGTGAGGTTACGTTTGAAAGGGAAAGCTCTCTGACACATCTGCGACCAAACACTGTGGATAGAAACGCAGAAGGATTGCCATCGTGTGCCGTCAAGTGTCTTCTCAGGCCCGAATATGTCCGAAACGAGCGTGAACATAATGTGTAGAAACGCAGAAGAGATGTGATAGGATTGGAGGGCATAAGATGTGCTGGTGAGGTAGAGGGCCACCCGCTGTTAAAGGCGAGCAGATGGTAACGGTGTCTAGAAATTCAGTGGTTTTGTGGGAAGCAGAGCAGCGCAGTGACAGGTGAAAGTGATCGAGGGGTTTCTGAGGCATTCGATTTATGGAGTCGAAATGCTAATGTAGAGTGTAGTGTGGGGATGCGGTTCTGTTAGTAGGGATAAGAATAGGTAGAGGACACTGCGACCAAAGGTTCCGTACGATACAATTAGATCCAGTATTATGGTAATGCAAAATAGAGGACGGCGGAAAACAGGTGGAGACCTGCGACGCTGCCCATTTATGAGCTTTTATCCGTGGCCGGGGTAAACAGAGTCAGCGCTATCGGGAGAGGACTCAGAAGGAGGCGAGAACATCATTGGTGCAAAACCGTGACAGACAGACATCAAGCGCTTTGTGTGGTCCGGTCACGAGTGGCTCAAGCGATGGGAACGGTCTCACTGTACATTCTACAGCATTTCCTCATAGATAGTCCCGTACGTATCGGTAACTTGATGAAGCAGACGTAATAAATCCTTAGACCGGTAGGAAACAATTTTGTTTGTTTTAAAACGCCGGAAGTCTCCCGCAGACCAGCACATGCTAGATGTTGCGCCATGGGAACATATAAAGGGCACGCGATCCGCAGGATGAATACGACGACGATGTTATGTCAGCGCCTGTCCGGCTGGAAAAGACGGTCGCAAACAGGGTGGAAATGATCGAAAGAATCACTAATCCGGGAGTCTGCAGGGTACAAACGCGATATCCGGTGGCCGAAAGGATAAGGTCATCGACTGAAACCTGCGTAGGTGTGGGAAACCTCACCACGTGCCCAGCCCACATGCGACTATTGGTGACCGCGTGTCGGCGACGAGTCGGTACATGCTGGTGTAATGCTGAGGCCTCCAGCGTAATGAGGCTAGGCCTTATCGTGGCGCGATGGTTTACTTGCCTCAGAGATCCACACAGCTGTGCTGGGTGGTGCGCTTCGCATCTTCAGAGTCACTCATACCAGACTGTTCAATGGTTAGAAGCCAGACAAACTCTGACTCCTGCTCCTTCAAGTTGGGGTTCGGAGCGAGGGTGGCTACCCACTCCATAAAAGAGAATCCTTGTAGTTCATCGACAAACCCGCTGGCTTGCAAAGTTTTCTACCAAGGCTTTGGTTTAGAACCCTGTCTAGGGCTAAGCAACCGGGCAGTATCCTACCCACGCAATACTATGAGCCTTTCCTCAAACAATTTCTTGATGCTCTGGCTGCTGCAGAGGATAATCAACGGCGCTCAATCTGCTGCATCGAGCGGGATGTATAGGGGTTTGGATGCTACTGCACAAGCCTTCTCGTCTTCTAATTCTCCCTCTTACGCTTTTTCATCCTTAGCCTCCCATTTCAACTTCACTTTGGTCCCCCCATTCGTGGCACTAACCCACCTTGATTTGATAGCCGTTTATCTTCTAGTTTCGACTCACATGCAAACGCGGAGCATCTCCCCCGTTCTGTTGACAATCCCACTTCCAACCAAGCGGTCAAGTTCAGATCATCGGCATATATTTGGAGCCTCCGGTTTTCCCTCAGATTGGCATGCCTCAAGGTACGCACATCGTTACAGATCCGTCAACAGGCAGCACTTGCCTGAACACTAGAACCTCTTGATCGATAACTGCAGTCTATCAAAAACCCGCCTGCAGGACTTGAGCTCTGTTTTCGCTATGGAGTCCCCTTCAGGTGACAGTAACAGTGTTTTCTCATTACACCTATCCGGAGACGATGCAGCTTCGAATGTCGGTCAACCCAGTGTTGGTATTGCTCTCAGCCCACGGGCTGAAGCTGCTCTGATTGATTGGATTCCAATTGGTAGCCGCATGTGTGCAAGCCGACTGGCTGGCTCGTTCAAAGCTTCGAAGTCGCGTGGGAATAACAGGTGTCTATTCGTCATCAATACCTACGCGCCCAGAAACTGTAGCGATGAATCGGTAAAAGACCACTTCCATCGCCAAATAAACGAGCTCCTTTACTACAGAAGAATCACGGACACTGCAGCGATGACTGGGGATGTGAACATTCAAGCTGGAAAAGTGTCCACTGACGAGTAGCATCAGAGCGGCCAGCATGGTGTAGGCTCCCATAATGCTAACGGTGAGCGTTTAGTTCATTTGTGTGAAGATGCTCGCTTATTTCTTGCGAGCACTCAATTCCGACACAGAACTCGCCTCAGCGTGACAGTGCTCCCACCAGCCTTGGACGCAAATCGATCACACTGCGAACAGTTACCGCTGGAGAAAATGCGTCCGAAACTGTTGCTGGATTTGGACCACATGAGTGGACGCAAACCATGCACTAGTATGTGCTGATCTGCGGGTGCGTTCTAGTGAACGCCTATGACGACTCTGGGAGCGCAATGACACCAACCAACTGTTCTGAGTGCGTATCGAAGTACGCTGACTTGCAGGTTAAGTAAACGCTCACTGAATACAGTAGAAGATCACTGGTCGCATGTTCACCAGACCTTACTAGCAGCAGGTAAATCATCAAGTCCACTAGCCAAAATAGACATTGGGTCTCTTCGCAGTCTCTGGAACTTATCGATGCTCGCCAGCACATCCTGGCAGGAAGCGAACACAATGAGACTCGAAAAGATCTCGAGACAAAACATTTTGAGATCAGACTATTAAAACTGCATAAGGCCGCGAGACCAGATAATCATCATTCAGTCCTCCCCAACTTGGGGGGAGCAGCTCATGATGATGATTTACACGAGTTACTAGTGAAAGTAAGGGGACAGAAAACTGGTCCAGTCGACTGAAACCGCTCTGTCATAATCCCAATTTTTAAGAAAGGCTCCAGTTGGGTTTGCGGCAACCATAGTGGAATTAGTCAACTTTCCATCGCCTCTAAACTGCTTGCTTCTGTCATCCTTCAAAGAATGATTAGCGCTCGTGAAAGCTAGATACATTGGGAGCAAGCTGGGTTTGGTCGAGGTCGAGGCTGCACCGATCACACTTCCACTTTGCGTCAGCTGTTGGGGCACCGTGACATATATTGGCGGCCCACCGTTGTCGTGTTCCTCGCAATCAAAGGTGTCTTCGATTCGGTTGTTCGATGTGCCCTTTGGGACTGTCCACTCAGGAAAGCTGTGTCCGGGAAATAAATATTATATGAGCGCTATTGACGTGTAGCTCGGGCAGAGTAAGAACTTACGGCAAGCTGTCAAGATCCCTCAATATCTCCAGCGGCGTCAGACAAGGATGTCCGCTGTCACCTTTCCTCTTCAGGCGATGACTTGGCCAAGAGGAATGCAGGTCCTTACTTCGAAGTTGGCCTCTGTTGGAGTCTCTCGGCCCCCCTGGTTGGAATCCGAAAGAAGATGAACATGTTTGGCTGGATACATCTGCTGACATTGTTAACAGCCGACCACAGTGGTGTTTTTGTCATGAATTTCTTTGGCCTCCCTCACGCTTTGTCTCCCCCTCCAACCGCGATCACCTTTTCTAGCACAATTAAAGTTTGCATAAGATAATTTTTTGCGGTACAATAACCGGCTAATAGCTTTCCAGAACGATGTCTATTAGTTACTTGTGGTTCAACTAAGGTGCCTCTCATGCACGTTTTTTTATATCTTCTATTATGTATTCCGGCACAATAGCTGTGTCTTTTACACCTAACTAACCTGTATGATGATTGCTGATGTCTGCCTACATTTATCCAAGACGATATTCAGCGCGTCATGTAAGGTCTGCTGCAGCAGTGCACCAGTTACGCGCGTGTCGCTGCTAATGCGTCTGCTAACACAAGAGAATGGATCAACTAATTCCAGTTTCGATACCTTAGTGTGCACAGTGAAGCCAATTAAGAAGAAGTACATGAGAATGGACGGTTTGAAATTATACCAAAGAGTAACGGTTGTTTCCACTAATTCTGGTATGGTTTATTCTGGGGGGCGATGTTGGTTTGTTCCGATTCGGTGAGGTGGCAGTGCACAGGTTCGAAATGAAACAAGAAACGCACGTTGGAAACATTTGTAACTACTGTTCCAGCTGGCCCCCAAATGTCAATTTGTTTTGGTAGGTTGGAACGAACAGGACTTTGGTGGGAGTGAAACAGAATATATTCTGATCGATTCGGATAAGGAACAACTGAAAGTTCGAAACTAGCAGGCATTGGTTGGTTGGCGCTTTCGGAAAGTTGCTACAAAATGAAATAGGCTTGAAAAAATAATAAATAGCTTTTCAGGAAATACAGTAAAAGGCTCAGTGCTTGCTTAAAGCATGAGGCGCGATACATTTTCGTGTGACGACGGGGTAACACAGACAATATACTTTGTAAGCGTTGTGTAGAGGCTCAAAAATCCGTAACACGTTAACATCAGTCAAAAAACGATCGAAGAATCCCGTGTTTGCTGTGGCACATGAGATAAAAGCATCATACATGTGGATCATTCTGAAAATGGCTGCAGGTACGTCCCAGAGGGGTTATTCAGTTCAAAGTCCGCATGTGTACAAGCAGGGTATTTTCTTTGGTCGGACTGAGGAAAACTCATCTAAATCACTGCGTGTCAAAAAATGAAAGGTATATAGATCCGATACTGGTAGACCGCTGCAGTGTACATCAGTACATTGTACCGATGCTTTGCCGTCACGCAAACAACACTAGTCGCGTGTGGTCTAGAGACACTGTGAGGTCAATCTCACCTACGCAAAATCGAGTCCGTTCGTGGCCCGTGGACTACAAGCCAAATGCATGATCCATTTGGCCCCCGGCCGGTAATCTGACGCTGACGTTGATATGAATTTAGTGCTAGGGTGTCACTGATTTGCAATTGCTCGCTGCACCCGTATATGTGGTGGGAATTTATTGGATGCCACAAAATGAGTGCGCCAGTGTAACTCAAAGGGACGAGGTTCGCTTGCCTCCATAAAACAGTCAAGATGGATTGAATCTACCAGCAACAATGGGGTGTGGTGTTGAGTGTATAGGCGGAATCGAAATTAGGAGAATGACAAGGGTTACGAGCGGAATTAAGTTCAGAAAAACAATTTTATGCTGAGCGGAGGGACAATGCGTACCGGCAAGGTACGACGGCTCTCCGTGATATTTTCAATTCTAAGCACTCGCGACACATAGTCACTATGGTGCCTTGAGTGAGGGTGAAGTGGGAACACTGCGTGTGGGCGGGCACTGAATCTATCCGCATCATCAGATAGCGATCCATGAACGAGTATGAGAGCACCCGAGACAACGCACCTACAAAGGCGATCCGAAGCGAAAAGAGAAGTGGAAGCACAACAGCGATATCAATGCGGTACGCTATCAAAGCCGACCAAAGGAGTACGCGAATTCTGAGGACCAATGGCCCAATTGTGTGATGAGCTACCGCCAAGAAAATCAATTTAGTAGCGGTGCTTCAACAAGCGGCATGTACTGGTGTGACCTAAGTTAGTCTGAGCCAAACCCAATGAAGCTGTACCATCCCGCCATCTGGGTCAGAGTCGACGAGCAATCTAAAAGCCTCATCGATCGGTGAACTGTGTGCCATGGCGTCGACTGTTCTATTGCGGATCGGTCACACAGTGCCGTAAAACGCGATGAAAGACACGGCGACGGTCAATATATTGCGATCAGATGTTTGAGGTGATCGAGACAACTATAGTGAAAAGACTGTATAGAGAATGGTGTGCAGAATTAGCAGCTGATGCGAACCGTAACATGTAGGACATAAAGCAAAATTCTGAAGTATAAAGGAGTTGTTTAATGCACAGGAACACTGGTGCGAATATGGAGAAAACTCACTATTTGTCCCCGATGGATAGATAAATGCACCAAGATCCGGCATAAAAAACTGGCAGAAAGTGGATTTAATGGAGCCCGAAGCGTATTAAAAAAGCGATCTAACAGTGGGCGGCTCTGGGTCGAACAAAAGGAAGCATCCAGATTTCGGGAATCTGATAGCGCAGAGACATTGGCTACCGAGGAAGTGCTCATGTCACTGTTTGACAAGGATTCATTCGAAGAGGCGCACACAGCAGAAGAATCAACTGCCATATCACCGCGAATAGACAGAGTGCATGGGCTGTTTTGGTCTGATGCAAGAGTCCTTTCTGCTTGAACTAATTTGTCGGAAAGCAGACCGATATCGCACGTCATTATTTCACATGCCAGACTTGGGTGACTGCAAGGATAAAATTTAAATGAAATAAGGTCACGACATCGATCTGAGTGAATAAGTTAAAAAGTAAACAATGATTCCATGTACTATGCGCGAATTTGGCGCTTCTAAGGAAATGAGCGCTTCATTACGAACTTCTGCCCCATAAGAAGAAGGGAATAAGCATGCAAGGGGCAACGAGGGTGGAGAGGAAAAAATGGTGAGTTCGGGATTAGTACAAAAATCTGAAGCACTTCTGTCTTATAGTTTTCGATTAAAATCTAAATAATCAGAATAACAAAAGCGAAACCCTCCACTTCTGTGACGATCCCACTGATCGGAATGGCGAAAGCTGATTTCAAAGTTAACCGAGGTCACAACTGAGATTGAGTGTCGAAACCCAAAAACACACGACGGGTACTCCAAAACCCAACACTCAGCAAATAGTAGCATTTTAACAATTACGGTCCAAATCAGATGGTAATTCTGTAGCAGGAGTCAAGGATAGATAACTTTTTTAATCCTCAGGACTGCAGACATTAATGAAAAATAGAGTAGTGAACAAGCTGTGGATAAATCACAAAACAAAGTACTTCATTGCGTTCGGGAAGTGAGATTATAATGTTCACTATTGTTGAGAAGCAAGTGCCGTTTTTGACCAGAATAAAGCCAGTAGGTAGGAATTTTGCACCAGAACAAACGAAATCGGCGGCAAACGCAGTGATTTAGTGGAACAAATAAGGTCTGTGCATCGAAGTATTGAGGAAATAAACCCAATGAATTGCAGCATCACAAAGTCTGATTCACACAGGATGCGGTGATACATTTAATACGATGAGACAATAGGCTTCAGTGGGCGGCACTTTCCACGTGTTTTCTGAGCTATCCATAACAGATATGTTAATGGTTAGAAGTTAGACGAACCAAACTTCAGCACTCTCCTCAATGGAATTCAGAGACCGATCGCCCATTTCCTCAAAAACCACTATGGTCTGTAGCAGTACAAACAATTATCAGCTCGGCGCGGCTGATTTGGCGAGCCAGTGGTGCATGTTGGTTCTGACGGAGGGAGTGCGCCACCCGGTGCTCAATGGTTTGATACCGAAAGCCTCAAGCCAGGAAGGTCCTTGGCAAAATGGTGCAAACAACCTAAAAACAACCTGCAAATGGCAGTATTCGCATGTGCATAAATATTGTGATCGGAAAACATGTGTGGATTGCTCCGAGGTATATAAGACTGCGGTAGGTGAGCCCAAAACGGATGCTAGCGCGGCTCCGAAATCACTCTCATGAGCTGGGCCTACTTCTGTTTAGTCAAAGATTAATGGTGAAGGTACTCAAACACATCACAACGCACCACTCTGTGATTCAGGCGATTGTGTCAAACATTGGAGACAGGGCACATCTCGAATGAAACCGCACGGTCAGAATGAGCAAAAAGGGCTTCGTTTGCTTAAAGAACTACATCATCAATGCTCGCGGAGCTCAATGACCTAGTGGTCTTGGCGACAGCCGCCAAGCACTATGCGGGGAGGTCTAGTCCCAGCTCGGCTACCTCCAGCGGATGAGTCAAAACAAAAACGAAATCGTCGGTTGTGTTGTGTCGCCACTGACGCTTTCGCCCCACGATTGCCAAAAGAAGTCCAAAGACGAGCCAGAAAGAGACTTGTATACATGAAATCACATTTCCTTATATACTTTTGAAGGCAAAATGAAAGGAAGCTACTAAATTACACTTGAGCTAACCAACAGCAGGAAAACGTCAAATGCAACGGGCGAATAAGCGACCGTGTACTCAAGAGCGAATCGCATGCCCTTAAAATAGCATCATGGGACAACAGGCGTAAAGCGAACATCGATTTACAGTGACGGGCACCGACCAATCAGAATAACAAAATGCAGAGTTTAAACAAATGTCAAAAAACAAACAAGAATAAGAAGTGCAGACCCAAAACTTAAAAACTAATACAATAATCTTGTGATAACTATATATTCCTTTAACATAACCCAGCAGAACAGTGATGCAGAGAAAAACCAACGGAATGTGTTCATGCAAATGGCACTGCTAAAAAGGACACAGAAATGAGCGTCCATTAACAGTGACGTGTGTGTACCCATCGGGTTAACACAGTGGAGCGTTTGAACAATAGACAAGAAGTAGAAAATAGGAAGAATAAAGAATGGCTATTAAGCTCATCCCCAAAAAATGAATGTCTAATAGCTATTCTCCTAATATTGTGGAGTGTAGGGATGAGAGAAAGCCACAGCGAAACCCACCTCCTTTAGTGTCTTCTCCCTCTTTTCATTCAACCCGCTTCTTTCCAAGCTAACGACCAAAAGAGTACGGATGACTTCGCAACTGATGCTAGCAGTACACCTACTCACCGTTCGCAGCAAAGGTCGAAATTCACACCGAATCCTTCAAGACCCGCACTCTGGGTCAACAAACAATCAAAAAGCATTGATATTCACTCTTCACTGCTTTGGAATTTAGGCCCGCGCGTCCTTAGCTGGCTCAATATATGTCTACAATAAACATACTCTTGGCATCTACGGTGATACTGAGTCAATGACCCTATGTATTTACGGTATCTGTATTACCCTCAGTAGAAATACTGCAGAAACTCTATTCGAATCGGTCTCGGTGCAGTGTGTAAGTTAACTTGGAAGATCCAGGGGGGGGGGGTTAATAAGCATCATCAGAATGCAGTGCCGTGCAACTAACAGCAGCTAGGGGGCACTAGAGATGATCAAAACTCATCCCCTAGCACAGGCAGAAGGATACGGGGACTTGTATCATCACCAGTCTCATCATCATCAATACACGTTAGTTGAAGGTGGGAAACACACATCAGCTAATGTGCCGTAATATAAAAAGGCAAAATACAAAAAGATTACACCATAAAAAATTCAAAAGCAGATGATATAATGTTAAATAACATGTTGGGTAATTCGCATGAGATCGGAATTGGAGGGGGAATCCAAAAGAGAGAGAAAGATGGACAAATAAACTCACAACACAAACGCTACTGGGCCGTCTCTTCGCCATATCAGCAAGTGTGTCCAACCATACGTGTTCATCGACCTTGGGACCCCAGCCAGGTAGTCGGTATGCACCAATCGAGGCCAGCTTCGAAGTGAGGGTTTTCATTTCGCTCGACTAAGTCATCATTTGGCCTCCCCATCCTCCTCTTCCAACCGCACCCTCGGCGCGCAAACAACTCCCGTGACGGGGGCCGAGGTGCTGGCATGCGCAACACGTAGCCCAGCCACTGACGCTTGATGCGGGATATAATGGTGCCGAGCGATTCAGCAAATATGCGATGCCGAATACGATCATTGGTCACACGGCGCTCCCACTAGACATCGGCTAAACTGCGAAGGCAGCGATGGTCGGACGTGACTAGGATACGGACATAACAGTCACTGTTAGCGGAATAAACGAGTAAATGGATTTCTAACGGGAGTCTGAAAAGGGCAATAGTGAAAATTTAGAGACATACCGATGGCGGTTGACCTCTTCAGCTATATGCCGACAGTAACTTTTTAATCGGCGCTGCTTGAAAACACAAACACTCATGTCGCCTCAACTGGAGCATACCGAAATTGATCATGACTGGGAGCCGAATTAACAATATTGTCACCAGTTACAGCGAACTTCAATCCGAGAGTATTAATGGGCTGCAATTATGTCCTAAGACACACCAACATGGTGTTTACTCTAACGCACTCATCGAGGCACCCAAGTTCGAAGTCGGGAGAGAGAAGACTGACGGGTAGCTAGTTCGACCGCTCTACAACACAATGTGGAACACCGAAAAGGTACCATCAGGTTAGAGGCGAAGAGCCGTCATCCCCATCTTACACGGGTTTACAGAAAGTTATTCCGAAAGCATCAAGGCACTGGTGTGATTGTCTTCATCGCAGAGATCCAAATGCGGTGCCTCAATGGTTTACGTAAAAGCCGATTCAGCTAAATACTGTTTGGTTTCCTTCAAGACGAACGATACATTGATCGCATAAATACATTTTTCGAGCGTCAGAATAGCCAAATACCTAAAGACTACATAGTACGGTGCTTTCCATTGAGAGGGAAGCCGCTACGATTCAGTTGACAGTAGCAGCTTGTGGTAGCTATATATATATATATATATATATATATATATATATATATATATATATATATATATATATATATATATAGTTCCAATTTTCAAGCGCTCACTTTGGGAATGCGGCAATCATACAGGGATCAGTCTGACTACAAGCGTTCTTAAGTTACTTACTAGAACTGCCTTTTGTATTTGCGAAATGTGTGGCGTTTAAAAGGGGTTTCCCTCTGCCTAAAAGGCCGTGTTTACAAGGCCACAGTGAGAGCCGTCCTGCTCTATGGGAACGAGACGACCCCTCCGATCTGACCACCTGCGACGCCTTTAAGTCTTTGACCATTGTTGTTTGCGAAGCATTGCTGGTGTCGGATGGCACTAGCACGTCCGCATCGATGATGTGCATAGGCGAGTACTAGGCAGTGATAACCAGGCTAGTTCCTTAGAACAACAGATAGTACTGAATAAATTGCGTTGGCTTGGGCACGTAGTACGGAGGATTGGTCACTGTTTACCGAGGATAGTCTTGTTTAGTTTGCCAAATATAGAGTGGCGCACGGCTCGAGATGGACAAAAGTTGACTTGGCAGCGGAAAATGAAGCCAATGACGACCGAATTGGGTGCCGTCGGTCCGTCTCGTCTTCCAAGCAGAAGTCTGCGTGACGCGCCTTGTGCTTGGCTCGAGAGTTTACAGGGCATGGCTCGCAGTCGGAAGCAGTTGCGCGTCTGCTGCCGTCTCCTATTCGGATTGCCTGTTTCAAGTGTACTTGATGCTGAGTTATCTGCGGGGTAATGTCTGATTATGACGTGGGACAGTGAAAGTCGCATGGAAAGTATCTCGCCGATGCCGCCTTATTTTTGGGCGTTAGCCAGCTGTTTGTGACGGTATGTTGTTGACAAGGTGTAGGCGTCTTGATC